AAACAAACTGCAACCTGTACCCTTGGGAGATTGTGCTGAGGACCCATGGGTCCGACATTATACGGGACCATTGCAATCGGAAGGCCGATAAACGGTTGATAAAACACAACTTTATTAACTGGGGGGTGGGTACACTGGCAACAGGCCTGGTGACCCCCCTCAATGAGTCAAAAACGCCGTTTTCCCGGCCTCTTGGCCTTCGAGGGCCCAGGCCTAGGGGCCGAATGGGATTGGCGTTGGGACCAACGCCTTTGGTCCCTCTGACTCTTAGGCGGGGGTTCGTATCTTCCCCGAGCCAGAGGAGCAGAGGTTTGAGGCCTGGGCTTGTCCTTAGAAGGCGGGACATAGATGCCCAGCATCTGCAGGGTGATGCGGGAGTCCTTCATCCCATGCAGATGGGAATCTGTCTGGTCCGCAAACAACGCGTTGCCATCAAAGGGCAGGTCCTGCATTATCGACTGGGACTCCACGGACAGCCCCGAAAGTGACATCCATGACTCCCTTCGCATGGAGACCGCCGAAGCCATTGACCAAGCGGCTGTGTCTGCTGCGTCCGAAGCCGCCTGGAGAGCTGCTTTGGCCGCCGCCGCGCCCTCTTCGACCAGAGCTCAGAACTCCTTTCTGTCCTTGTCTTGAAGAAGGGGTTCGAACTTGGGGAGGGATCCCCACAGATTAAACTCATAACGGCTCAGCAGTGCCTGGTGATTGGCCACTCTGAGCTGGAAACTGGCAGACAAATAAATCTTTTTACCAAAGGTGTCAAGTCTCCGAGCGTCCTTGTCCTTTGGCGTGGGCGCAGGCTGGCAGTTCTGCTCATGGTGGTGGACTGACTCTACCACCAAAGAGTTCGGGGCCGGGTGGGTGTAAAGGTATTTGTGACCCCTTGCAGGGACTAAATACTTCCTTTCGGACTTCTTGGAAATGGGGCCAAGAGAGGCCGGGGTCTGCCAGAGGCTGGTGGTGATATTGGCCACCCCCTGATGGAAGGGAGGGCCGCACGCCCCAGTACCGAGGAGGCAAGGACATTAAAGAGTGTGTCGGAGGGCTCCTCCATCTCCTCGGCCCGGAGCTCGAGATTCGCTGCCACCCTCCTAAGCAGCTCTTGGTGCGCCTTGAAGTCCTCTTGAGAAGAGGGAGGCGGTACCGCAACTGCATCGCCCGGCGCCGAAGAAGTAGATGGTGCGGTACCGTCTGCCACCGACGGCATTGTGGGCTCGATATCCGGGTCATGTCCCGGGGTCGGTGCCGGTTGTTCAGCACCCACGGCCCCATCCCGGTCCCGGGCAGGCGACGCAAGGCGGCCCTGAGAGGCTCCCGCCACGGAGCGAGGTCCCGGCTGTGAGGGTGCCTGAGGCCATGGTGCCCACTGGCACCATTGTCCTTGCCAGGGAACGGCCTGGAACTGGGACGCCTGGGGCGCAGGCAGAGCTGGCTGCTCCTGCGGTGCGGTGCGGCCCAGGGAGAGACGGCTGCGCGCTGATGCCGAAGTCCTGGAGGAGCGCACGGTGCCGTAGGAACGGCTGGAGCGGTCTCTGTCGTGACGGCTCCTGCCCCGAGACTTCGACCTGGATGACGTAGACAGGTAGATGTCTGAGGAGCTGTCTCTGGACTCCCGACGGCGCCTGTGGCCACGGCGCTTCGGTGCCGGGGACTCTTGGGACGGACTCAGAGCACGACCTCTGTGACAGCGGGCACTAGAATAGGAGCGCCAGTGCCGATGGCGTCGGGACCTGTTTCTCTCGGACTGACTCGAGGAGGAACGGCGTCCTCTCTTGTCACCTCCTCTACGGCGCTTGGAACCGGAGGGGCAGGACTCGCTCGCAGAAGAGCCGGCACGCGGAGTTGACATACGACGCGGGCCTCTGCTCGGCACCTCGACCCTGGAAGGTACCTCGACCTCTGATACCTCCGGGGAGGGCTGACGGGCGCTCAAAGACAGCTTTCCACGGGACCGGGGGCCCCACTGAGGTGGCGCTTCCGGCACCAGAAGGGCTAGGATGTCATGCGCGGCCTACGCTGCCTCTAGCGTCGAAGGCATGCGCACTTCAGGCGAGGCTCACGCAGACGGGACCGGACTACTCCGCTCAGCGCAAGTCGGAGGTCTCTGTCCCGATGGGGATCGTGGGCTGCCCAACTCGGGTCTGGCCTCACCCCTCTCCTTCTCTCAACGCCGCTGAGTCTTCCCTTGCTTCTTACTGGGGGAGCGGTGCCGAGTTGACGACAGTGCCTCGCTGTGCACCGAAGATGCGGTGCCGGGCGCGGAGTCAGGTCGACGCGCCGGTGCCGGTGCCAATGCCGACTCCATTAGCAAAGCGCGGTGTCAGATCTCACGCTTCCGCTTAGTCCGAGGCTTGAAGGAGCGGCAAATCCTATAACGCTTACTAACGTGAGCCTCGCCCAGACAGAGAAGACACTGAGTGTGTGGATCGCTTCTGGGCATAAAGTTGCGACAAGAGTTGCACGACTTGAAGCCTGGGCCACGGGGCATGCCCCGAGCCAGGCACTAGCGGAAGAAAAGTTCAGCAAGGAAAGTTCAGTGAAACTGGATACCACTAAGCTATCGATGCTGCAGCCAAGGCTGGAGCAAGTTCCGACTACCTTCACTGGCGGCAAGAAGGAACTGAGGGTGGGGGGAGCACGCAGCCCCCTTTATGGCGCGATATGTCGGCGCCACTCCAGGGGTCGCAGCGGTGCTCCCCCACTACAGGTACTGCTAAGGGAAAAACTTCCGGCACCGGTGCACGTGGCGAGCACACACACCTATAGTGGAATACACATGAGCAATCACTCGAAGAAGAACCAGGGCCTCAGATCTCCCAGCCTCGTTGCTTTGCTTACACACATTCTCTCTGAGTCCCATCTGGGCTGTGGCCACGCTGGGCTTTAAGATTAACCCCTTAGGGACAATGTGGTAGGCAAGCAAGTAACCCGGGGTTAACAAAGGAATTTCTAAACCACAGTCACTTAGACGGCTCAAGAGTTACAGATCTTTGCCAAAGAACAAATGTCCTGATGAGCACCCTTCTCTAGTCTGATCTCACCCTGCCTCTGACTCTGGGGTTTGTCAACAGTTCAGGCTGGGCAGAATCAGTAGCGTAGCTAGCGGGGTTCAGGGGAAGCGGCCGCTTCCCCTGACCACATTCCCCAAAAGTGGTGCCTGCGGAACGGGGCCGCGGGCTGGTTCCCGGCGCTCCGGGCGGCCGGCGGAACGGGGCCGTGGGCTGGCTCCCGGCGCTCCAGCCGGCACAGTGGGGCCGCGGGCTCCCGGCGCTCCGGCCGGGACTCCGGCCCTGAGAGCGTGGCCGGGGGTCTCGGTGCCCCGGACAGCGCTCCGGATGGGGAAGCGGGGTGGCCCTGCGCATGCGCCGCTCCGTCTTTCGGCGGCATTTCGGCGCATGCGCAGGGCTGCCAAAATGCCACCGAAGGACCGGCACCTTTTTTCTCCGCCGCTCCTCCTCGGCTGCAACCCTGGCTACGCCACTGGGCAGAATCCCTCCCGCCTTGTCTGTCTCCCGCCAGTCCTTCTGCCATGTGGTGATGGTCGGCACGGCTGCACAGAGAGTGCCCCTTCTTAAGTAGAGCCTCTCTGGACCCTTCTGCTATGTGCTCAGCTGGAAAACTCCTTCCTCCTCCCCCAGACGTGCTCACTGCACCTGCGGGCCCTTGTGTAGAAAAAACATTGTTCTGTGGGGGTGGGCCAGTAAGTGAGAGACAATCAAAATTGATGGCGCTAGATTGCCATCTTGAGATCTTCTCCATGATAGTCCTTAACAAAGTATCACGCACCTTTTCTAGGCTGGGCACCTGTCGAGAATACAATATGATAATCTGCCTTGGGTAAATTTAGGCGTGTGCACAGCACATAATACAATGGGAAGGTACTTACCTGTTAGTAACTAGAGTTCTTTGAGATCTGGTGTCTATATGTGCTCCACTTCTGGTCTGCGTATGCCCCATGCACCGGAGATCTGAATGCATTAGCCACCAGTGTCCATTGGTTGTGCCTGCACCCTGCATGCCTCCCTTGGGAGCTGGGATCTAAGATATAACTAGTAAGCTGTGGTGAACTGGTCCTTTGGGAGCAGCAGACCTGATAATTCTGTGAGTGCCCAGAGGAGAAGGGGCCGGACACTACCGGCGACGCTCAGAGGACTGGGGGCTATTACTCCCAGATCCTTTCCAGTGGCACTATCACCTGGCCAGGTGTTCCTCATTTTGTAGCTGTTCATTTGATTTCTCCTTCTTAAATGTAGTACCTCACACTGGGCTTTAATTAATTTCAACTTGTTGATTTCAGACCAATTCTCTAGTTTGTCAAAGTCGTTATGAATTCTAATCCTGTCCTCCAAAGTGCTAGGAACCCCTCTCTGCTTGGGGTCACCCACACATTTTAGAAGCACACTCTCCATTCCATTGTCCAAGTCTTTAATGACAATACTGAGTAGTACCGGACCCAGGACTGACCCCTGTGGGACCCCACTAGACACGTCTTCCCAGAGTGCTGCAAACTACTGATAACTACCCCTTGAGTATGGGGTTTCAACCAGTTACAGTAATTTCATTTAGATCAGTGATTTTCAACCTGGGGGCCAGGGCTTCCTGGGGGGCCGTGAGCAAGTTTCAGGGGGTCCACCAACTGGGGCCAGTGTTAGACATGCTGGGGCCCAGGGCAGAGGGCTGAAGCCCCACCACATGGGGCAATTGCCCTGCTTCCTACCCCTTCACGCCAGCCCTGGCTTTTATATGCAGAAAACCAGTTGCTGTGGCACAGGTGGGCTGTGGAGTTTTTACAGCATGTTGGGGGGGGGGGGGGGGCTCAGAAAGGAAAAGGTTGAGAACCCCGATGTAGACCACGTTTCCCTAGTTTGCTTATGAGGATGTCAAAAGCCTTACTACAAGTAAGGGGTCAGTCCCAAGGGTCTGTCCTAGGGCCAGTTTTGTTCAATATCTTCATTAATGATCTGGAGGATGGCATTGCTGGAGGGTAGGGATAGGATACAGAGGGACCTAGACAAATTGGAGGATTGGGCCAAAAGAAATCTGATGAGGTTTTTTTCATAGATTCATAGATTCTAGGACTGGAAGGGACCTCGAGAGGTCATCGAGTCCAGTCCCCTGCAGGTTCAACAAGGACAAGTGCAGAGTCCTGCACTTAGGATGGAAGAATCCCATGCACTGCTACAGGCTGGGGACCGAGTGGCTAGGCAGCAGTTCTGCAGAAAAGGACCTAGGGCTTACAGTGGACGAGAAGCTGTATATGAGTCAACAGTGTGCCCTTGTTGCCATGAAGGCCAACGGGATTTTGGGCTGTATTAGTAGGAGCATTGCCAGGAGATCGAGGGATGTGATCATTCCCCTCTATTCAGCACTGGTGAAGACACATCGGGAGTATTACGTCCAGTTTTGTGCCCCCCAATACATAAAGGATGCGGACAAATTGGAGAGGGTCCAGCGGAGGGCCACTAGGCCAGTAACCCTGAAAGCTAGATGTGGCCTTTCTTACTGGGGCCTTTAAAATCTCCCCTATTGCGCCTCAAGGAGCCAACAAAAGGCGTCTGGGAGTTCAGAAATGGTCCAATTGCCTGGTGCTGTGCCTGTCGGTGCGGGACGCGAAACGAGATCCAGCACTGTCAGCAGCGGCGCGGAAGGACCCGTGCGATGGATGCTGAGTGCAGGAAATGGGACGTCCGGGCCACAGGTGCGGGTAGCAGAGGCACTGAGGAGAGCGGCACCTGGTGCAATGAAGGCGAGAGCTCTGGGCATGATGCGTCGGTGCGGCAAACAGTGGTGCCGAAAGCACCCGCAGCAGCACCAGCAGCAATGACTGTGCCGCAAGCAGTGGTGCTGAGAGGCCACCACCAAGTGAAATCCTCTCTGGGCGCCAAGGGATGAGCCAGCAGCTGAACCAAGGACTCAGGACTCCTTCTCTCTGGGCGCCAGAGGGACCAGGGATTGGCCTCGAGCTGCCCTTAAGTGACACAGAAAGAGGTGACATAGCAGGCACCTGAGGAGGAGATCTACTCCCGTGCTCCTTGGCAGGATGGCGTCCATCACACTCTAGGTCGCTAACCGGGGCAGGCACAGCCTTAGAGGCGGAAGAGACGGCTGCCAGGGTACTTTTTACACAAGGGTGATCGGTCCTAGGAGGATCCAGCATCTCTTCAGGGACTGAGCCTGGCCTCCTAGACTTCTCCAGGAGAAATCCCTTCAGTCTAGTCTCCCTGGATTTCACAGCCCGTTTGGGGAGGGCTCTGAAGTCCCTGCACTGCTCTCTACCGCGTGTCTGTGAACCCAGACAATACAGACACTTAGAGTGTCTGTCGTTCCGGGCATGGCAGACCCACATGAGGAACATAATTTAAATCCTGGGGGCAAAACCCTCCTGTATCTGGAGAAGACATCAACTGCTCACCTCAGAGCCCTACCCCACCCGCAACAGGATTCATAGAGTGCAAGGCCAGAAGGGACCATTGTGATCATCCAGTCTGACCTCCTGCCTAGCTTAGGCCAGAGACCTGCCCCAAAATAATTCCCAGAGCCGACCTGTTAGAAGAACATCCCGTCTTCATTTACACATGGTCAGGGATGGAGAATCCACCACGAACCTCAGTAAAGTGTTGGTTAATTACCCTCATTATAAAACATTTACACCTTATTTCCAGTTTCAATTCGTCTAGCTTCAACTTCCAGCCGTTGGATCGTGTTCGACCTTTCTCTGCTAGATTGGATATTTGTTCCCCGATATTTACAAATTGTAACCAAGTCACCCTTTAACCTTCTCTTTCTTAAACTAAATAGATCGAGCTCTTTGAGTCTATCACTATAAGGCATCTTGTCTAATTCTTTCACGATTCTTGGGGCTCTTCTCCGAACCCTCTTCAATTTATCAATATCCTTGTTGAATTGTGGGCACTGGAACTGGACACGGTGTTCCAGCAGTGGACACAGAAGTGAAAAATATAAAGGTAACAGAACGTGCTTACTCCAACTCAAGAGTCCCCTGTTTATACATCCCAGAATCGCATTAGCGATTTTGGCCATAGCGTCGTACTGGGAGCTCATGTTCAGCTGATTATCCACCACGACCCCCAAATCTTTTTGAGAGTCCCTGCTTCCCAGGCTAGACTCCCCCACCCTGTATGTATGGCCGACATTCTTTGCTCCGAGGAGAGGGAGTCTACGACTGAAATCCTCCCTACAACAGGGGAGTTCAGCTAAACTAACTAAGCCACTATCTCCAGTAACAATGATTAACTATCAAAAATTACTATTTACAAAACATGAAGAGAAAAACTTCAGTGGAGCCGGAGACCGGACACTGCTGCTGGGTCTGTCTCTCAGCCAGGGGCCATGAGAAGGAACTGAGGATTGGCTGGTTGCTCAACCCCCATTGTGCCCTCGGTAAGAGGGGGCTTGAGGACATGGAGAGCACAGCTAAAGCATCCGATCTCCAGTGCACGGGGCACCTGAAGTGCAGCACATCCGGCAAGCAGTCAACATCAATGGAGGTTACAGTGTGGTACAGAAGGGATAAGCCAGCTCTGTCACACCGGTAATCCCGTTACCTTGCCAGTGTAGGGGAATCCAGCCTTGTAGGTATCATCAGCATCCTCAAAGGTCACTGTAGCGATTTCAGACATGATGTCACAGCTCTTGGTCACATTGAGCTCCACCCCTAGCAGGAGAGGGAGGGACGATAGGAGGAAGGTGCCAGGAGCGACACCGGAGTTCAGGCTATGTCCCAGATTTCTCTCCATAACAATGGGAGGGTGTGATTTAGGGGAGAATTTGGGAGGTTCGGCTGGGGTCAAAGAAGGATTTTCCTGGGGAATCTGGAAACTAGAAAATTTAGATCCACCTTCCCCTGGGGCTTAATCCCAAACCAGCCACTTGACATTTGCCAGCAGAGTCTCCTGGTTCTGCGGCCCTTTCCCCAGCAGAGAGCTCCTTACTGAACGGCCCCAGAGCTGACCCCGCACACAGGCCTCTCGGCACAGGGCCTGCCCCCAGAAAGGGCCGTTTTCAGAAGTGCCCAGTGACCCGTTGCCATTCTGGACCCGCTCTCCTCCAGCCACTTCGCCATCGCTGATGTCAGCACCCGAGGGTAACGTTGTAGCCATCCCACTGTTACAGTTTTCAGCCAAATGGGTGTCGGCCGCTCTAGAAATCAGGATTCTTCTGGGTTAAATGTGGAGTTATCTGGGTTCGTTGCTAAGCGATTAGCACTTGCAGTTTCGAACGCTAAGCGCTAACGTCACTGAGGCCGATTCAGGGCCCAGCGACACAGGCTGGGCCTTCACTCCACTCTGCCAGCTCAGTCCACAGGCAGAGGCCACTCGCGGGAGGGTGTTTAGTCTTTGCATGAATGTGCCCAGGTCTGAACTCCTCATGAGGGATCGATCCCAGTGATAGGCTGAACCAGAACCCCAGATCCAACCCCCCAACGCTACCTCTGGGCCCATCTCTAAAGCAGCTGGGCTACAAACGACATTACCACATGTGCAAGTGAGCCCCCTCTGCCCCTGGGGGTTTAGTGCTGGGGGCTGCCTGGGGGTGTGCATGTGTGCTTGATTTCAGTCCCACCTGTCCCCTCCTCCACGAGAGACGCCTTGGCCTGGAGGCTCATGTCGTAGCCAGAGTAGGTCAGGTTGAAGGGAGCCGTCATCACCTCTGTGGAAAAGCAGCCGTTGCTGTCAGTCTGGAGGGAGAGAATCACAGCCCATTAGCAGCAGCTCTGCACCAGGCCCCGCAGGTGTCAGCTCAGCAGGTCTCTAATCGGGCTTGGCCTGGTCAGTGCTGGGCCGGGAGACACTCAAAGAAAACCTGGGTGCTGAAGTCAGCAGCAGGGGGCGCTCTCACCTCAGAGTCAGCCCTGACACCAGTACCCCAGCACGGCGCTAGGGGGCGCTGTGCAGCTGGAACTGCTGTGGGTGGGATGAGACGTAAAACAGGCCCTGGCCACTCGTGCCAACCACAGATCCCCTGGTGCTTGTCCCCCATCGTCGTGGTAACGCTGGCTAATTCCAATCACCCCCTAGCCCCCCAGGGACTGAGAGCATTCGGGGAGATCTGTATCGTTCCATTGCCCCTGCCTAACGAGAGCTGCTGATGAGGAAGGGCGGCCCCGTAACCTGGGGCACTAGCCTAGGTCTGGAGAGACCTGGGGGCAAGTCCCTGCTCTGCCACAGGTGCTTGCAAGTCCCTCTGAGTACGGCTCCAGCAGAAACACCCTGCGGCCGCGAGTCTCAGAGCCCAGCCCTGCTGACCCCACTTGTGCTGCAGATTGACGGTCGGGTCCAGGCTCTAGACCCAGGGAGGGGGGAGGGTCTCGGAGCCCAGGCTCCAGCCGAGCGTCTACACCAGGGTTCGGCAACCTACGGCATGCATGCCAAAGGTGGCACGCAAGCCGATTTTTCATGGCACGCGGCGCGGGCTGAGCGGCTCAGTCCGCCACCGCTCTGGGGTTCCCACTGCCAGCTCCTGCCAGCCGGGGTCCACCGCCAGTGCAACTCAGCACCCGCTGCTGGCCTGGGGGAAGGAACCCCAGGCTGGCAGGGGGCTGAGACCTCAGCTGGAAGGAGCCAGGGGCAGAAACCCCAGAGTGGCGGGGGGCTGAGCCGCTCAGTCGCTGCTCTGGGGTTCCGGCTGCTGGCCCCTCCCCAGCAGGGGTCCCCACCGCCGCAGCTCCACTCACCTTGCTTCCCATTGCAGGCTCCCTCGCAGACCGGGTCCAGGCCTCCAGCCCTGCTCAGGCCTACCAGCCACCAGCTCCACTCACCTCAGCTGCCAATCTTGGGTTCCAGCCACTGACCTCCTGCAGCCGCGTCTGGATCTCCAGCCTTGCTCAGCCTGCTTTCCGGCCGGGAGTCCCAGCAGGCCACCCTGGGCTCTGCTCCTGGCCTTGGATCAGTCCTCTGCAGCCTCCCCGCTGTGGCCCGCTGTCCCCAGCCTGGGACAGTGAGGGTTGCACACCAGGCAAGAGGGGGTGCAACTCAGCACCCCCATCTTAAAATTGCTTATCTCAGACCACACTATGTTTGACCTTAAGCCTGCCTTCTATCACCATTTTTTTCCCCACTGAGAGTTGAAGGGAACATTTGACAAAATGGCAGCTCCTAAGAAAGCGAAGCTAGATGTCCGATCATTTCGGCCTGCTTGGACAGACACATCTGGATTTATTGAAAAGAAGCGCGGTGCTATTTGTGCTTTCTGTTCTGAAAGTGTTGTGTGTCGCACATCAAGTATTCAACGACATTTTGAAATGAAGCACGAGAAAACCTTTCTTGATGAAGCAGACAAGACTGAATCAAACTAAAAGGCAGTAGCAGCCTATGAGAAGCAAAGCAGTGCTTTTAAAAGCTTAAGTGTAAGAAAAAATCAAGCGACAGAAGGAAGTTACAAGATTGCACAGTGCATTGCAAAAAAACGGAAAGCCGTTTACAGATGGGGAAGATATAAAAGAAGTTTTTCTCAGCAGTTTGGAGATTTTGTTCAATGATTTGCCAAATAAAGATACAATCATATCTATGTAACCCTTCTGCCAGCCGAGTTGATAGCAGCAAGGGCCGGGTTCAATACATAGGGGTCCCCTCCCAACAACGTAACGCAAAACCAGCTTGAGCCTCCACCCAGTGACCTGAGAAAATCTTACACAAGAGGCAATACTTCCCCTCTCGCAAGCACGGAGTCTCGGTGTAGCAGAAAATGTTTAATAACATGAGGTAAACGACATCAGCATTAAATTGGGAAAACACAACTAGAGTTCATAGACCAAACCGTGAGCAAAGACCCACCCCAGCAAATTGGGCCGTGTCCTTTCCCTTTGGTTCTTGAATCCAGCAACGCAAAAATCACCCAGAGTCCCCAAAGTCCAACACCCCAAAAGTCTCTTGAGTTCAGCAACCCAAGAATCACCCAAAGTCCCAAAAGTCCAACACCCCAAAAGTCTCTGCCCCGGTCAGTGCAGCCCCAGAGTTCAAAAGTTTACCTGCAGGGTTTTACCCCCCGCAGTCTGGGTGGAAATGGGGGGGGGGAAGAAGGGGGCGCGTAGGGTGTTAAGGGGCACCTTACGTGGTCCGAGGCCGACTGCCCGCCTCTCCGTGGGGTTCCGCTGCAGCTTTCACCACGAGTCGCTCCACTCCACCAGCCGTCCCATGCGCCGCTCCTGCCGCCCCACAAACTGTTCCACTCTACCAGCCGCTCCGCTCCACTCTACTCCTCCAGCCGTCCCCACAAACTGCTCCGCTCCGCTTGCCGTTCCGTGGGCCGCTCCAACTGTCCCCGCAAACTGCTCAGCTCGCCATCCCGTGGGCCACTCCATCCGTCCCCACAAACTGCTCAGCTCTGCATCTCCGCAGCTCCTCTCCTCTCGCCGTTCTGTGGGCCGCTCCAACCATCCCACAAACTGCTCCGCTCTGCCAGCCGCTCCTCCAGCCGTCTCTGCAAACTGCTCCGCCAGCTGCTTAGCAATATAGCTTCAGGCTCCCCCACTAGGTAACACAGAACTCAGTGATCTCAGCTCTTAGTAACTTTAGCGCTTTTGTGATTTCAGCTTGTAGTAGGGGAGCCCCAGTGCTGGTGCACCATTGGCCCAAAGTGAATTCAGCTCAGCAGCCTGTAAGTAGACTCCTAATGGAATCAAAGTTAGCTCTGACATTCAACAGTGGAGAGAGGAGAAGGTGCAATTGTTGTTTCAGGCTCACAAAAAGGGCCCACACCACCAGGTACAAATACCTGCCCCCAACCTCTCTCAATTCACTGGGTTTTGGAACCCATGTCCCTTGTCTAGCGAGTGCTACTTAGGTGATGGTGAGACCCTCTGTCATAAAACAGTTTCATTGTCCTTGATTCACATAATCAGGGTAACAAAAGACAGTTACCTGTTCCGTAACTGGCGTTCTTCGAGATGTGTTGCTCAGGTGTATTCCACTATAGGTGTGCATGCTCGCCACGTGCACCGGTGCCGGAAGTTTTTCCCTTAGCAGTACTCGTAGTGGGGGAGCACCGCTGTGACCTCTGGAGTGGCGCCGACATATCGCACCATAAAGGGGGCTGCGTGCTCCCCCCACCCTCAGTTCCTTCTTGCCAGACAACTCCAACAGTGGGGAAGGAGGGTGAGACGTGGAATACACCTGAGCAACACATCTCGAAGAACGCCAGTTACAGAACAGGTAACTGTCCTTTCTTCTTCGAGGGATTGCTCATGTGTATTCGACTATAAGTGACTCCAAGCTACTCCTGATGGAGGCGGGTAGGAGTTAAAGATAAATTCTTAAGGGTTACATGGGCGGAGCACCGCCCTACCAAACCTGGCATCATCCCTTGCTTGGGAGACGATCGCATAGTGTGATGAGGAAGTGTGGACAGAGGACCACATAGCAGCCCTACAGATGTTCTGAATAGGGACATGAGCCACATAGGCCGCAGACGAGGCCTGGGCTCTCGTCGAATGCGCCTTCACAGTAGGAGGCGGGGGAACCCCTGCCAGGTCATAACAGGTGCGAATGCACTAAGTGATCCAGCGGGAGATCCGCTGGGTAGAAACTGGGCATCCCCTCATGCGCTTGGCCGAAGCAATAAAAAGCTGGGGGGACTTCCTGAAAGGCCTGGTCCTGTCTAGGTAAAAGGCCAGCGCTCTGCGCATGTCTAACATGTGCAGGCGACGTTCCTCATTGGAGGAATGGGGCTTAGGACAGAGGATCGGGAGGAAAATATCCTGATCCATGTGGAAAGCCGAGACTACCTTCGGCAAAAAGGCGGGGTGAGGGCAGAGATGAACCTTGTCCTTATGGAATACCGTATAGGGCGGTTCAGAAGTCAACGCCCTAAGCTCGGAGACCCGGCAGGCTGAGGTGATAGCCACAAGGAACGCCACCTTCCAGGAGAGGTGGGACCATGAACATGTGGCTAATGGCTCAAAGGGAGGCCCCGTGAGGCATGACAGCACCAGGTTCAGATCCCAAGGAGGAACCAGGGTCTAGCGTAAGGGAATGCCCTGTCCAAACCCCTCAAAAACCTGGAAGTCATGTGGTGGGAGAACACGGACTGTCCCGTCACTGGAGGGTGGAAGGCCGAAATGGCCGCCAGGTGCACCCTGATGGAGGAGGGCGCCAGCCCTTGGGTCCTAAGGGACAGGAGGTAATCGAGGACAAGCTGGATAGACGCGGAAGAGGGAGAGGAACCTCTTTCCCTTGCCCACATAGAGAACCTTAGCGAGGTAGGTTTGATGCGTTGAGGGCTTCCTACTCTCCAGCAGGACCAATCTCACCTCCACAGAATACCTGCGTTCCTCCTCGGTCAGCCACAGAGAAGCCACGCTGTCAGGTGAAGCACGGCTAGGTTGGGATGGAGGAGACAACCCTCCTCCTGGGAGAGGAGGTCCGGGAGGAGCGGCAGCCTGCAAGGCGGGGCCGCTAAGAGTTGCAGTAGGGTCCCGTACCAATGTTGACAGGCCCAATCTGGGGCTATGAGGATAACCCTCGCCCCGTCTGATTTCACCTTCTGGAGGACCTTGCCTATTAGGGGAAAGACCCTGGGGGCAGTAGAAAGGCCAAAGGGGAGGACCGTGAACTGGTAGTGGTCCTGACCCACTAGGAAACGGAGGAAGCACCTGTGACCCTCGAAAATGTGAAAGTACGCATCCTGGAGGTCCAGCGCTGTAAATCAATCCCCTGGTCTAGGGAGGGAATAATAGAGGCCAGGGACACCATGCAGAATTTGCAAAGCACCAAGAACTGGTTGAGATTCCGCAGGTCGAGGATGGGCCGAAGCCTGGCCTTCGCCTTGGGGATGAAGAAATACTTGGAGTAAAAACCCCTGCCCTGGTATTCCCGAGGTACCCTTTCCACCGCTCCCAGAGAGAGGAGGCGCTCTACCTCCTGGTGGAGGAGGAGGGCATGCTCCGGG